TCAATACATACCCAGATAGATGGAGGCTGATCAGGGGTCTTTTCTTGAGGGGTCCAAAGCAGCCACACCAATCTACAAACCTTGGGTCCGGGTCCCCGTTCTGAACGGGAATGGGTGCATACGTACACTACAACTTTCAAATGTGTGCCATGATTGCCATACCATCATTCATCTAACACTATACGTTTGTGTGTGTATATGTCTGTATTACGCTGCCGGCAAGGTTACTCGAGGTTTATTGCCATCCGATAGGTACTCCAAAAACATCTTGCCCTAGTACTGTAGGTATAATGCGCAAGTGTCCATCAGGGGGGGGTGTGAGGCTATTATACCTTTACCTAGTCTATTTGAGGAATAATCAAAGGTGCGACAATCGACGTCATTTGGTGGAGCAACTTGTTTATCATTGTTTGGTTTACCGATTGGTTAGGTAAGTGGTCCCTCGTCGTGGACTTTGTGGGTTCGCAATGTGCTTTTTTTTTTCTTTTTTTTCTTTTTTTTCTTTTTTTTTTTTTGGGTTCTGACAGTACTTACACTAAAAAGTAGTGTAGTGTAGGTAGTCTTTGGCAGCAATTCCGTGAGCGGAGGACGGGAGGGTGGGAGTGGGAGTCACGGGAGGAAGGAGTGTTGATGAGTAATAGCGAGAAGAAGGACGGGAACTGGACGAACCGGCGGCGGCCCGTCTCAGGTGTGCTACGAGTTTTTGTGGGGAGGCAAATGATAGGTTGAAGGCGGGCAGGGCAAAAAAAAGAAAAGAAAGAGGGTCGACGTAAAAAGGGTCAGTCAAGTCAGTCAAGACGGTCAATATGCTGGTTCGAAAAGGAGTCAATCAGGGGGGGGGGTGGGCTTTGAATGAATGTCTGTCCTGCTTTGTGTGCTGGTTTTCAATCACAAGGATAAGAGAGAGAGAGAGAGAGAGAGATCGACGGTGTACACGTGTGTAGTGTTTCTTTTTCTGTTCATCCCTTTTTCTTTGCCTGGATTTGCATTGCAAATTCGAAGAACAGAGAGTGGTTGTGAGCAGATGGGGGAAATCGATCGCTGATATGCGAATCGGGAGAAAATCCCATGTTTTGTAATGCTTTGGGCCATCGCCCATTGCTTGGGCCGGGGGAGGGAAGGGAGCATTGGGAGATCATCGGGGGGATTTCGGTGTGTTAGTGTAGACTAAGTACCTTTGACTCGCTCGTCCAGGGCTGGCCCAGCTTTTCGACTCTTGGGTGCTGGCTAGGTTAGAAAGGAACAAGCTGGATGGTTGAATCCGTCCATGCTGACTGATGAATAGTCGATCTTGCGAGTGGCGGGTATCAAAAAATGTTTCATGCATAGAGTGTTCTCGAATTTATAACATGAAGATACATGGCGGGTTTGGTGGGAAATATGTTGATGCAAGAGGAGCAAAACGCGCTGCGAAATCGAGGGCCGTTTTTGCCGAACCGAGACAAGCTCTCAGCTTTGGGCTAGTCAACGACGGTGTGCGCAAAGTGTGTCTCGTCACACACGATTGTTGTAAGTCTATTCCGCGCCATGCTTGTTTGATATTCCGTCCAGAGCGAGTCGGGCTGGTGTTTCCATTTCGAGACTGGGGAAGGCGCTGAATATATTTCAAACAATAGGTTTTCATGCGAACGCATGTCTTGCTACGTAGGTACGGTGGCAGTTTGGGGGTTGGTTTGCTAACTGTTCTCCATACTTAGTCATAGTGCGAAGATGCTGTGAAAACTAAAAAGGAAGCAAAGCCAGTGGACGAAGGAAAGGATATTTTCGTATATGTAAGCACACGAAAGAGAGCATAGGGCGATCGCGATTTCCATGCTAGGGTTCTGTCGATCGGCTGTGAGGGTGGGGAGGGGTTGACAAATAGTGTGCGTGAAAAGAATCGGGACCCCTTCGTTCGAAAGTCGGGCACACCTAACTGAACCTCACGTCGTTCAAAAACGACACTCCTCTTTTCGGAGGAGCCTCACGTTCTCGACTTTCCCGCGCACACACGCGCCCTCCCGTCCGTTATCAGGATGCGACTAGGTAGTCAAGCCAGTCCGAAAAGGTTCGGGGTGCAGCGTAATTGCTGGAAAATTCTACATAGCTGAGTGGCTCGGCTGGCGCTTCCTTGCCAGGCAGGGCAGGGCAATGCCAGGGTACAGTAGCAGGGTCTGTGCTAGCATCATGTTCACTCCACACCAAGGGAGCATCATTGCTGTGGAGTCAACCTCATGGTTAATGTCCGATAATCCGGGTGTGTCGTGGACAAAGGGTCATGGGAAGGGGGAAAATGCGCTTTCGTATTTTTTTTCTACATCTTTCATGTCCTCTTTCGGTGTGTCTTGTGCTGAGGTCATCATGTCGGAATCTGCCAAGAGACGCCGTCTTGGGGGGGAAGTTGAGGGATTGGCATAGTGACGGACTGACGTCGGCTTTGAATGCTGCCAAGTCTTTAGGTTACACAGTACATAAGGTGCAGCATGTGGCGCCATGTACCGAATTGTAGTGTATATGATGGGGCGAGGGTTTTATGTACCGTTTTCTTGGATGGGGTTTCAACTTTCTCAGGGTCCTATTCCCAAAGCGGATGGGATTTGGGGGAGGCTGTGAAGAAGGTCACGACATGTTTGCACATGATATCATTCTGACCCAACAAATTGGCGACGACGTGGACGGGGCGCGCCGAGCGGCCATGAGTCCGTAACCCCGAAATGACGGGCCGGGGTCATGGGCGACGGTTACCGAAAACAGGGCAGGGCAGGGCAGCACACATTGCAATGCCCTCATTTTGGGCCCAAAAAAGGGCGCATTTTCTCCCATTTTGCGGCGCTGGAGATGGGGCATGGGGTGGGTGGATTAGCTAACATTGGACACCCCTCTCGAGGGCCAATGGGCACAAGGAAAACCCGGGGGCCGCGGGGCCGGCGGGGGGAAGCGGTGCGGGATTGGCAGGCCCCTGTGATGTTCTCGACCGCGAGATGGTGTGAGTGGCTGCCAAGACTTGTTCAGAAAAGAGGGGCGCGCAAATATGTAGCTAGTGTAGTGTAGTGTAGGTCCCGTCTGCCATTCCACTTCGTCTGGGTGTCTGTGAGCTTCCTGAGCCTTCCTTCAGTTCCCTTTGCCGTTCGTCGGCTGGGCCGCCAAGAGGGGAACGGCGAGTACAAAGGGGCCCCGCCCTATCAGGTCTCTCTCTCCCTGAGGAAGGGCCAGTGGCTACAACCTATCAAGTGTGGATTCGCGTGTGAATGAAGCTGCAGTGAATCTGCACCGTAGGACCAACGGGTTCACTCTCATTCATAGAGTTCAAAGGCACTGACTGACTGCACTTTTGTGGTGCATGTAAGACGTGGATGCGGCCACCTGCCCATTGCATCATGGTCCAGTCCTGCGTCCAATTGTTTTCCCAAAAGCATTCGTCCTTGTGATACCCGACCCATTCCTTGGGCAACAACCTCATACTACCCTCTTTTTTCCTTTTTTTTCCTTTTTTTCCTTTTTTTCCTTTTTTTTCTTTTTTTTTTCTTTTTTGGACTTGACAGACGACCCGGGGGCTTCCCTCACGCGCTTCCCTCCAGCTTGGGCAAAGAAAGAAAGGCCTCTCTTTTTTCGCCTCTTCTCACCTTTCACAGCCCTCGGGACACACGCCGTTCGATAGACGCAACGTCACTCGTCGACCGTCCCGTCTCTGGACCACCAATCAAGACCGAGTCCTGCCAAACCCACGGCCAGAGGGGCTCCCATCGTCTTTGCTGTTAGGGCAGAGCCGGATTCCGATTCCCATCCCGTATGTTGGATCTCTCTTTTTTCTCCACGTTCCGTTGCGAAGCTGCCAGCCAAGAACCACGCACCACATCGATGCCATCCATCCCGGAAATACCCACTACATACTGCTATACACCTTGACACTACACTACACTCACTACCACATCACATCTACCTTATCCTGGTGGCCATCCAGCTAGATTGATAGTACATGCTCTCTTCACCTATTCCCGGCCCTTGTTCGTTACGCTTAGTCCATATACACTACACTGCCGGGCTTCTTGCAAGCCACCTCGGCCACCCTCCTCCTCAGCCTCCCGAGTCTAATTACACTCGTCTCCTTCCACTTATTGGTGCAGCATAGCGTCTCCATTCGTCTTTTCCCCCTCGCTCAGGGTCCTCCCCCAGTACGTCCGCATTCCACGTGCGTCCCCTCTGCACTCTGCAGCTTGCGCTTGCTTCCGTGATCCGGCGGCGTCTGGTCATCTCCGAGTCGTCCCCCCTCCATCGCGTACCTAGAAAGAAGCTGAGGTGATCCCCTGTGTCGCCCAAGCGGGCTTCTTCCATGTTCGGGTCCAAGGCAAGAAGGCTACGGACGAGCGCACTGTACGCGTAACACTCGATCGCCCGGCTCCGCTCCGTCTACCCAAATCACCACACACACTGCACCGCGTGCCCGCATGCCGGTTTCCTGGACATTCCCAGTCCCCCCCTGCGCTGCTTCGTCCTTGCTTACCCCGAGTCACACTTCACCTTCCCTGCCAAGAAGGCCCTGACTTTCTTTCTCTTTCATACAGCTAACCGCTGCCTGGTCACCTAGATAACTGGCGCTGCCTTGAACACGCACACGGACACAGAGATACTTTATTCTTTTTTTCCGACAGCCAAACAAACTTCAAACCCCATGCTCGGGTCCGCCGCCACACTACATCTCCGCACGTTCTGTCCCACCTCCCGTTCCGTCTGCGTCTCCACGTCTGAGCTTCCTTCCCCGTCTGCTTGAGTGACAGCTTCGTACCGACAAGCAGGTACCAGTATCAGACGGCTTATTGATCGATGCAGCAACGACACCCACGGTCCCTCAATGTGATCACCCGACCCGGCCCTTCCTGGCGCACCACCTTTTAGCACACCTATTCTACGACCAAATCCTAAGAGAGAGAGAGAGAGAGAGAGAGAGAGAGAGCTTCATAGCTAAGAGCTTGTTTCTATTGTCAACCCAGTACGAATCGCTTGGGGCGACCGATGCAGCCACCATGAACAACAACAACTACTACGGTTCCCCGCTGTCTCCTGAGGAGCTTCAGCATCAAATGCACCAGCACCACCAGCAGCAACAGCAACAACAACAGCAGCAGCAGCAACAAAATACCAATCAACATCGCAATGCCGGCATGATGAATACGCCTCCAACTACAAATCAAGGAAACAACACGATTCACGCTTCAGATGTAACCATGTCAGGAGGAAGCGACTCTCTTGACGAAATCATCCAGCAGAACCTCGACGAAATGCATCGAAGGCGGAGTGTCCCCCAGCCCTATGGGGGCCAGAATAGGAGGTTGTCCATGTTTGATTACGCGAACCCCAACGATGGTTTCTCAGACTATCAACTCGATAATATGTCAGGAAATTATGGGGACATGACTGGCGGCATGGGCATGTCAGGCCACTCGGGCCCGTATGCAGGGCAGAACATCATGGCTATGTCGGACCACAGCGGTGGATACTCGCACATGTCGCCCAATGTTATGAGCAACATGATGACTTATTCCAACCTCAACATGTACCACTCTCCCCCGATCGAGAACCCCTATTCTTCGGCCGGACTCGACACTATTCGCACCGACTTTTCCATGGACATGAACATGGATAGTGGCTCCGTCAGCGCAGCCAGCGTTCATCCCACCCCTGGGCTTAATAAGCAGGACGACGAGATGATGACCATGGAGCAGGGCTTTGGTGGAGGTGACGATGCCAACGCCTCTCACCAGGCCCAACAAAACATGGGCGGTTTGACTCCGGCCATGACTCCGGCCATGACCCCTGCAATGACCCCGGGTGTCAGCAACTTCGCACAAGGCATGGCTACACCAGTCTCACAGGATGCGGCAAGCACGCCCGCGACAACCTTCCAGTCTCCGTCCTTATCCGCAACAACACAGACAATACGAATTGGGCCGCCGCCACCGCCGAGCGTCACCAATGCCCCCACCCCAGCGCCATCTACCTCAACCCCGTCAGGTGGAGGAGCGTCCCAGACAAAGAGCATTTACTCCAAAAGCGGTTTCGACATGCTGAGGGCGTTGTGGTATGTGGCGTCGAGGAAGGACCCAAAGCTCAAGCTCGGTGCCGTGGACATGTCTTGTGCGTTTGTCGTCTGTGATGTAACACTCAACGATTGCCCCATCATTTACGTGTCCGATAACTTCCAGAACCTTACGGGCTATAGTCGCCATGAGATTGTCGGGAGGAACTGCCGCTTCTTGCAGGCCCCCGACGGTAATGTGGAGGCTGGCACCAAGCGCGAATTTGTCGAAAACAACGCCGTATATACGCTCAAGAAGACCATCGCGGAGGGCCAGGAGATTCAGCAGAGTCTGATCAATTATCGGAAGGGCGGCAAGCCTTTCCTCAATTTGTTGACCATGATTCCCATTCCCTGGGATACCGAAGAAATCCGTTATTTCATTGGATTTCAGATCGATCTCGTGGAATGCCCTGATGCCATAATCGGCCAGGAAGGAAATGGGCCCATGCAGGTCAACTATACCCACAGCGATATCGGGCAGTACATCTGGACGCCACCTACCCAGAAGCAACTGGAGCCTGCCGACGGCCAGACTCTGGGCGTTGATGATGTTTCGACACTTTTGCAGCAATGTAATTCGAAGGGTGTTGCATCCGACTGGCACAAACAATCCTGGGATAAGATGCTTTTGGAGAATGCAGACGATGTTGTCCATGTGTTGTCGCTCAAGGGTCTCTTCTTATACCTATCTCCGGCCTGTAAGAAAGTGTTGGAGTACGATGCCAGCGACCTCGTTGGGACCTCGCTGTCCTCGATTTGCCACCCGTCCGACATCGTGCCGGTGACGAGGGAGTTGAAAGAGGCCCAGCAACACACTCCAGTCAATATAGTCTTCAGAATTCGGAGAAAGAACAGTGGTTATACCTGGTTTGAAAGTCACGGAACATTGTTCAACGAACAGGGTAAGGGTCGCAAGTGTATCATTCTTGTGGGGAGAAAACGCCCCGTTTTTGCTCTACACAGAAAGGACCTCGAACTCAACGGCGGTATTGGTGACAGCGAAATTTGGACCAAGGTCTCGACATCAGGCATGTTTCTGTTCGTTTCATCGAATGTCCGGTCGCTCCTGGATTTGCTCCCGGAGAACCTCCAAGGTACCAGCATGCAAGATCTCATGCGCAAGGAATCCAGAGCCGAGTTTGGGAGGACGATAGAGAAAGCTAGAAAGGGCAAGATCGCGAGCTGCAAGCACGAGGTGCAAAACAAGCGTGGCCAGGTGCTCCAGGCCTATACAACATTCTACCCCGGAGATGGTGGTGAGGGTCAAAGGCCAACGTTCTTGTTGGCGCAAACAAAGCTGTTGAAGGCGTCATCAAGGACACTAGCTCCCGCGACCGTAACGGTCAAGAATATGTCTCCGGGCGGTGTCCCTTTGTCGCCAATGCAAGGGATCCAGACCGACAGTGATAGTAACACTCTCATGGGCGGGATGTCGAAGTCGGGAAGCAGCGATAGTACGGGGGCCATGGTCTCAGCTCGTAGCAGTGCAGCACCCGGCCAGGATGCGGCTTTGGACGCCGATAACATATTTGACGAACTCAAGACAACGCGTTGCACCAGCTGGCAGTACGAGCTAAGGCAAATGGAGAAGGTGAATCGCATGTTGGCCGAAGAGCTGGCGCAGCTTTTGTCTAACAAGAAAAAACGGAAACGAAGAAAGGGAGGAGGTAACATGGTGAGGGACTGTGCAAATTGCCATACGAGGAACACGCCCGAATGGCGGCGTGGGCCAAGCGGGAATCGAGATCTATGCAACAGTTGTGGGTTGAGATGGGCAAAGCAGGTAAGCTATCAATTTTCTTCTTTGGATTTGTTTGCCCCCAAGTTACTAATGTGGAAAAATGGATAGACTGGGCGCGTATCGCCGCGCACCTCATCCCGAGGTGGGAATGGTGATTCGATGAGCAAGAAGAGCAATTCACCTAGTCACTCGTCGCCCCTTCATCGAGAAGTCGGCAACGATTCACCGTCTACTACCACCGCTACCAAGAACTCACCCTCTCTTCGAGGAAGTAGCACCACTGCACCCGGTACGATCACAACGGACAGCGGACCAGCAGTCGCATCGAGCGCTAGCGGAACTGGTAGTACGACTATAGCTACTTCAGCCAATTCTGCTGCATCAACCGTCAACGCCCTGGGCCCTCCTGCGACAGGTCCCAGTGGCGGCTCACCGGCTCAACATCTTCCGCCTCACCTCCAGGGAACACACCTTAACGCCCAGGCCATGCAGCGTGTACAGCAGCACAAGCAGCATCAGCAGCATCAACAGCAGCATCAACAGCATCAACAGCTTCAGCAGCATCAGTTCAACCCTCCACAAAGCCAGCCACTCCTGGAAGGCGGAAGCGGTTTCCGTGGAAGCGGAATGGAGATGACCTCAATTAGAGAAGAGATGGGCGAACATCAACAGGGCTTAAGTGTATAGGAACCACTCGGCCCATTGACTACATCGTCGACCTCTTATGACTCATCGGTCTCAAATCTGTCGTTGCCTGCAGTGGAAGTCGGTGGCCATACTGACCCCCAGCAACCTCAACTACAAGATCAAGGCCGCTGTCAGACTCAAAGGCAGGGACAACAACAACAACAACAACAACAACAACCACAACAACAACAACAACCAAAAGAACATAGTACGAGTCTACCGTCCCAGAGGCAACGGTCACACAAGGAGCTTCGTGAGTTCCATGAGTTGCATGACTCGCGGGAATGGCAGCAACAACACCAACAGCAGCAGCTTTACGCCTCACAACAACGACGATATCATGTAGAGATGCAAAAGAGGTTGCAAGACCGGCAGCAAATGCAAATACCGCAGCCGCAGCAGGAGCGGCTGTAAGAGTAACCACGCATATCATCACCGACCGAAGGGCCGAAAGACGATATTGAGTACACCAATAACCTCGGCGGCCCATCTCATGCCCATTGTCTCTACTCGCAGCTACTATACGTTACCTGGGCTTCAATACAATAGAGAACATGTGTAGAATATGAGAGGAAGACGGGCAACCAACATTCCCGGAACGGACGATGGGAAAATGCTCGAGGCCCACGCGGTCGTCAGAGAGAAAAAGGAGCAATCTTACTAGAGATTTGCAAACTTCGGATCATACCAGACCTGTATACATACATGCACACATACACGTATACGTATGTCATGATAGTTTTCTCTTCTTTTCTTTGTATGTGGAGGGTCATTCAACAGAAGAAGGCCTGCATAGTGTAGACTTTTACATCAAAGTGGCACGAGCTAGGGATGGAGTATTTTCAACAACAAGGGTAGGAAAAAGGAAAGGAAGGACAAGGATTGGTGAATGGGCATGGACAGGTTGATTTGAGTAAGAATGGTTGGTTGGTTGGTTGGTTGACAGGAGCCGGAGCGTTTAAGAAATCGGCTGCTTGCTGGCTTGACACATTGTGTTTTTCTTTTCTTTTTTGGATGTGCTTTTATATACATATATATCATCATAGTTGGTTTTGATTAGGTCGTTTATGTGCTGCATTCAAGTATGCATTCTTGAGCTCCAATCTGATGTAGTTCTCTCATGATGGTCGTTATCTTGATCTTTGACTGCACTGGTGGCATACGTTCCAGATGGAGGATATGTTGAACCAAGTGGGCATGGCATTGGGAGGAAGGCAGTTTGTCCCTTTGCTATCTTTCTGTTTGAGCAGACAGACCATGCATGGTAGGACAGGCCGCAATCGTAATTATCACCGACTAGTCGTTGTCTGGAAACGAAGGAAAAAAAAAAACTAAAAAAAAAAAAAAAAAAAAAAAAAAAAAAAAAAAAAAAAAAAAAACTCTTTCTGTTCGGTTTCAAGTGTGGATGAGTGTATTTACTTTGAGCGAGATAATCATCTCATCACAAGCTAAGTTGTTGTCTGTACGCTTTGTTTCACTTTCGCGAGTACCTACCTCCTTTACCAGACTCACAACATTGCTTTTTATGCTCTGACATTGCAAACCTTGACAACCCCAGTCACTACGACGACCATAACGGCGAAACGACGCTCTTCCCATTGTTATAGGCACCTAACTACTACTAACAGTGTTTGTTAACCTGCATAATAATTTGTTGCATTTCGAAATAATTGAGCGGGGGGTATTATCCATCCATCCATCCATCCATCCATCCATCCAGCAGTTTTTCCATTTCTCTTTTCTGCTTCTTGCACATTGCGCTAAATATTCCCTAACTCCCCAACTTATTCCCTTGTTTGAAGGGGGAAAAAAAGAAGAGATAATAATGCCAAACCATATCTGCCAACACCAACAAACACCACCACCACCACCATAGCCAGTGAAACTCCATCTACCTATCTATCGATCTATCTCGCATATCCACCCCTCCCACATAGAAGAAAGTCGACAGTGATGATAGAGAGATCTCCAGCCAAATAAATGGTTTATGTGTAGTTGGACAGAGTTGTGGCCGCGCTACGGTCCGTGATGAAAAAAGAAAAAAAGAAGAACAAAACCGATGGACAAAGCGTATCATAATGTATGAGAATAATAATGGGTATGCAAGGAGTTACCAATATGCAGAGTAGGATAGAGAAAACGCCCACTTTGTCCCCCTCCCCCCCATCCAGAGAGAACGCCCAACCCAACCAATGCCAAAGCTTGCTTCCCAACTCCTTTGTATCCATGATGTGATGTGATGTGTGACCCGGAATCGGAAAGAAAAAAATGGGAAAAACGTGACGAGATTAAAGAACAGATCCCACACCCACAAGTCCCAGCATAGCACGCCGTGTGGTAGCTGTGCTGTATATGTAGATTCAAATTCCACGCCTCCCCCTTTCATGAATACCCTCTTACCAGATCCAGTCCATCAGATGGCTCAAACCATCCCAAGAATAGACAGCCCGCGCCATTCGTAAGTTTATGTCATGATTGTATGAATCATTATCGTCGCTGCTGCTGAAAAAAATAGAGAGAAAAGGATGTCCAGAGCTAGCGCTGCAGCCTGAGCAACCATGTTTTACTGATGCCATTTACCACATGCACGCAGGTTTCATTTGCGAAGCAAACAATAGATGGTCAGAAGAAAACCGGAGTAGATGGGAAGAGGAGAGCCTGGTGGAAGAGTGAATGCCCGTGGATGATGAACAGTATGGGCTCGTTTGTTGTTGTCGGTAATGAATGTGAAATTTGCCGCATGGGGAAATGAAGAGCATGGCTCGTAACTCGCTGTCTAAGCAGCACATAAAACGAGCCTGTCTTTTCAGAAGGAGTGTAATGTGGATCGAAGAGGATGCGTCCATACCCATGCCGGTGTGTTGGCCCAGTCAAGTCAAATATGACTCTTTGCGCTTCTCGTTCCAGAGAAGCTTTCGATTCCGATGCAGCTGCTCAGAGGCAGCATTGATGTAGAATGCGATCTGCGAAATCGCTTCCTGTTGTGTCTGGTGTTTGTTGGTATGAGTTGTTCGAACGGTATCAAATGAAAGAGTATGAGAAGAAACAATGCTGAGGTCACACCATCCGCCATTATACCATTTACATGGTAAACAACATGGTGGTGGAGTGAACAAAATGCAGCTGTATGGGAAAAAATAAGCCGAAAACGTAGTGTCTCAGTGACCGCTGGTAAATGCGCCGAATGAGAACCGGAGACGATGCCGCGATGATATAAAACGAAGGATGAAAAGGAAGATGAGAAGTGAGTCTGATAGCTCAACAACTCGAGCAGTGACGAGATCTTGTAGCAGATGCAATTACAAGTGAAATGCAAGTATGCAGATCCGGTGTCGAAAAACCGGTAGCGACAAGCGTTCAACGCTTGCTTGTCATTGTTGACAAGAATTCCCAAAAGCTCAGTCAAATCTCCATGGACTCCTTTACTGCGACTTTGCCCACAACGACTCAACGGTAAGGTCCAAAAGCTCTTCACAGAAGTCGTCAAGCTCGATGATCCTAAATCGAGAACCCCATCTGGAGGTGAACTCCGGGTCCCGCCAATCTTTCGCAATGTTGTTTTTCCAGCCGTAAAGCTCGATCTTCCAGCCACGAGCTAGTGCCCGCTCGGTGTTCTTCTTGAAACCGTCCGAATACTCGGCGCACGCAGCATCACCTGTAGCGAGAACCATGGTACCGGGATTCGGAACGTCCAGAGCGCTCTGTAGAATCTTGAGGTGGAGTAGTTCATCAACGCACTGTTCACTGCGCGTTTCAGGGCCCTCTCCTGAACCTTCAGAGCGGCGACCATATTTCTTGGATTTCTTGCTCAGATCCAGAGAAGACGGCTTCGTAACACGTGAGAGAATGCACATCTCGTATTTGAGCTCCGCGGCTTCCGTCATGTAGTCTGGACGCCTGTAGCTGTGATTACTCACAGAACCTGCAACGACCCTCTTCTCAACCTTTCGGCCACGAGTGAGGATGGTATCAAAGTTCTTGAACGAGAATGGCACCTTAAGCCGCTTCTGTGGCGAAAAGCCACGGCTCTTCTTCATGGTGTCGTAGAAGCCAATGACGATGTTGGACAGATCGACAAAAATATGGACGGACTTGGATCGGACTGCGTTTGTTCCAGACGCATGTTCCTTTTGGACCTCCTTATCTTTGGCCCTCAGACCCAAGAGCTTGTCGAACAGAAGACGAGCCTTGTCTTCCTTGGTTGTCCAGTAAGCCGGATGAATGTCAACAGTGCCGAGGAGAGGATGTTTCACCTCGTAACACGTGATGCTACTGTACGGCTGAGACTTGGCCACCTGGCAGTGATTCTGTGGGCGTTGAGCTATGGTATCAACCGCTGCCTCAGCTGACCCCTTGGGTTGTCTGATTGCGGTCCTCGGACTATCGGTGCGATTTTCTTCGAGCTTGGCAACGCTGGGAGTGGAAAGCGACGTCCATGGGAAGGTGTAGTTGGCCGTCACGTGGCCATTACCGACAGGCCCATAATAGACATTGTTCGCGTAAATGATTGGATAAGGGTTGGCAAGCGGTGTCAGGTTACCAGGACCATACAAGGGCTGCGTTCCGCTGAAGGGCCCGTTGAAATTTACGTAAGTAAATCCAGCCGTGTTTCCCATGACTGGTAGAGGTGCAGACTCGGGTGTGTTGACCGCAGCCAGCGCGATGGGTGATGCAGTGTTCCCGCCGATATCCATAGCTTTGGGTTCAGATCTCGGCTGCGGTCTCTTCAATATGGTTATTGCGGGTTTCGGGAGAAGCGTGGGTGAAGGGGTCGAGTGGGAGGATCGCGGGCTCCCTGATAGAAAAGAGCGGGCGGAGCGGGCGGAAGTGTCACTGCCATGTGTAGGGCTCGTCGTAGGAGTGGGAAATCCTTGGTCTTTGACAGTTGCTGTCGCTCGTGGATCGATCTTGAGATCCTTCTTGCGCGAGTTCGTGCTCGCAGAAGCGTGGTTGAGTTTCTTGATCGCCTGAATCATGGCAGCCTCAATCTCATCGGCACTCATCGGGCATCTCGCAGTTTTCTCAGACTGCTTGGTGACCCTGGAAGATGGAGCGCTCCCACGCTGATCGGCCCGTTTTTGTTCCTTCCACTTCCGTTTAAGATCATGGCCAACTCTCTCAATGTAATCGTTAGCGGCCTGCTGGGCGTATGCGTCCGCGATCTTGGTGTCGCAACCGGCGCTTGAAGCCTTGTTACGGACAGCCCAGTATCTGCGGGCGGCTTCGGGTTCAGAGTCATCCACAAGCTTGCTCATTTCATTCTGCATGCGTACGAGCTTGGCGTAGTTAGGGTGGGACATCATGGCCACTACTTCAGGATCGGCCGTCTTCTGGAAATCGTCCCGGTTGGTAGGCTCCAAAACCGTCGAGTAGGGGATAGCCTCGAGTTTGGCAGTCATGTCGGGCTGCTCGCAGATGCGGAACTCGCACTTGGTCTTGGAGAACAAAGTTTCTTGATCGGCTAGCGAGAGTCGAGCGACGGGAACTGCGTGAGAAGAAATACGCTGAGTATATGATTCTCCCCATTTGCCGATCAGAGAAAGATCGGAGCCGAGCCGTCGGCCCTCAGGCTCATTGCGGCCAAAGAACGAAGTCGCCATGATTGGCTGAGATGCAGTTGGGCTGATGTGGCGCGGTGAAAGCCGAATTATTGTTGAAATGCTGGAAGATATGGTAAGGATAGCCTTTGGTGGACTGACGACGCGAGCACATCCAAGGAGGAAACTGAATGGTGAGGTCGAATGGATGGGGCCAGATGACCCGGCTTCTTGTCGGGGGGGTTAACCGGCGGATTGGTGGACAACTAGACGAATCACTGTGGGCTCTGTTCTAAAGCAGAGAAAGGTGATCGAGGGTAGGAGAAGGATGCTGAAGAACAAAAGGCATTGTAAAGGCACCGCCCATGCTATCAGAAAAAGAGAGTGCGTGCGACCTAGGTGTCTACCTCATGAACACCAGCAATGCAGCGCATAAGAAACAAGGAGGAAAGCAGTCGGTAGTGAGGCTGGAAGTCTGTATTTGTATAGTTGTGGGTCCCAGACTTGGATGATTCCAAAAGAGTCGACGCGCGCGCGACTGGAAAAGGGGAGATGAAGTTGAGAAAAGACGACAACAGGAAGGCGAGAGCGGCTGCGGTGGTGGGCGCGGGCGCAGGCTCGATTGACGGTACGTAATGCAAGATGGGAAAGACACCAGTGAGGCAAGCCGCGGCGTGCGTGGCGTAGCGTGCGTGAGTGAGTGAGTGACAAAAGGACGAATGCTTGCTTAGTTGCAGTGCTTGACTTGCTTGCCGAAGATATCTGAGATTGTGTGAGTTTTCAGTCACCAGAAATTCGATGGGGATTGGGAAGTTCGCTTCAGGAAGACTGACTCGGTTGAAGACTCGATCTCCAAGTATCCCGGGGCGGCAAAGATGGTGCAGTGAGGAGGGGAATGGAAGAGGGGGGGCAAATTATCGGTGGTGACTCTTGAGTTAGGTCCCGTCGGTGGCAGTGAATGAGTGGGTGGGCCCCCAACAGCAAGAGGCCCAGCCGGCCGGGGATCGGGCCAGACGGAAGCTGGCTCCGGCACCAGCTGGCAGACGTGTGAGCTGTTGGCCGTTTGCTTCCAAAGCGGACCGTCGAGGTTGACGACGAGAGTGTCTGGCCGACTGATTGGAAGATAGTTCTCTCGATCCATTGCACCCTTTTTCAAGCCCAAGCTCGCTGCAGGCCGCAGAGCCTCAAAAGCCCCTGTAGTGTAGACACTCGCACGTTGACAGGTATATGCTTACGCAGTACAAGTACCGCGTCCATTGCACTATAGATCGCTGTCTAGTGTAGGCTGTCTCACAAGCTACCCTGTCACAAGCATACACAGTAAGATCGCGCCAACGATACTGGGCATGACTGGATTCAGATCGCTGAGACTGGATACCTACATACCGGGAGTGCATACTACCGTAACCCATCTGCATCCGTTATCGAGCCCCTTTCATGTGATTCACGACGCTTTTTGTTTCGCTGCTTGGATTGATTTATCCTTATCAGCTTGATCAAGGTTCGAAAGGACCTACCTATGCTGCCTTGTTAACCGTTGGAGACACGGCAAACATCAACATCCTCATTGACGCAGGGGAGAATACCTATGCTTTTTGGTGATACTCCATAGTGAAAAACTTTTTTCAAAAAGCCCATCACCCGGCACAACTTTGCCCCTTTTGAGCGAAAACACCGTGTGATGTGTCAACCTTCGGCACTTGAAGATAGAAAGCCGACAAAAATCCATCAGCTAGTTTGGAAAACTAGTTTGGAAATTGGAATTAACGATATACTCCCAAGCATATTCAGCAGCTCTAACCAGGCAACTCCCTCTGCCAAACATCCGAGTTCCGTATATTCTTTTTGATTCCCAACAGAAAACAACATGCAGAACAGTGGCTAAAAACAAAACCATGTGATGGCCAAGGTATCGCCTACTGAGTAATACTGACAGAGGAGACTTCAGGGCTAACCCAAGTAAACGGCGCCGTCCCAACCAAAAACCCATCCATCTTGAACGCTCCCAGTAGGGCAAACCTACTCCGTTCCTTTGCTACAAGTGACCTCAACCTCAACTTGGCTTGGGATCCAAAGGTTTCTAAGCCTTCAACCCCGTCGCCTTGACGCTCGTCAAACCCTTTGCATCGGCCAGAAAAGCCTCCTCCAACTGTTTCCTTTCCTCCTCCGTAACCAAGCCCTTCTTGATCTGATCCTCAAGCCACCACCTTAAACTCTTCTTCCTAATCTCCGCCTCCGTTAGCCCCTTGTTCTCCTCCTTACTTTGCCTCATCATCTCTTCCCACTCCTCCCTGCCCCCTAGCAATTCCTCCAAATGCTTCGTCCCCTTCTGCATCTGCTCGCACCACTGAAGGATGCCCTCCTCCAGCAGACTCAGTGCCTTTTTGTGCTCATCCCCCTCGCCAATCGCCTTTGCCTCGGCGGTTTTGGCAGCTTTGCGCTTGTTTGCCTCTTCCTGCAGCGCCTCATCCCGTTCCTTCCTCTTGCGCCTCCGCTCCTCCTTGAGAGCTTTGATGCTCTCCCAGTGAACACTGTGACCCAATCCAGCGTACTGCTCCGCCACGCCACCATTGCGAACAGAAGCCCGATTAAGGGGTGGCGCGGTGAAAAAGAGGACACGTCCTTGGTCGTCCGTCTGAAACTGCTTCTTCACCTCCTCCGGGATCTCACTGTCGATGTTCTCGGCAAGGGTGTAGACCTCGGGGGCACGCGGCGCGTTGTACGCATTACCAGCGGCCGGACCTGGGGCGAGCTGCTGTGGCATGGTTGGCGGGTGCTGCTGCATGGGAGTTCCCATCGGAGGTGGCTGGTGGTGCCTGTTGGGCGTGGGGAAGTTGGGCGCTATTGGCGACGGCTGCGGATGAGAATGGGAGTGATGCGCTACCGGCAGGCCTATGGGGACACCAGGGTGGTGCGGTGGGCCGACTCCAAAGGGCTGTTGTTGTGGTGGTGGTGGTGGTGGTGGCGGCGGGTGCGCGTGCACCGGCCTGGAATGTGGGTGATGGGGGTCGTACTGGGGCCCGGGAGGCGGCGCCGGAGCGAGCTGGCTTTGTGTGGTCGGGGGGCCGTGGTGAATGTATTGAATTTGCTGGTAGGGCTGGTGAAGTTGTTGTTGTTGGAGTTGTTGTTGCTGCTGCGGCGGCGGCGGCGGCTGGTGTGGAGGCTGAGGAATTGGGACGTGTTGTGGCCCGGGACCGTGGTACGGAGGAGGTTGTTGGTGCGAGTAAGAAGGAGGCTGCTGGTGTGGGTAATGATGGGGGCTTGGCTGCATCGGGGGCATCCCGGGTTGATGGGGCTGCACGTGCATGGGCATGCCGGGCATTGGCTGGTGCTGGTGCTGGGGTCCTAGTGGCTGCTGATGGAGACCCTGATGGGGATGTGGTTGCAGCTGCGGTTGATACTGATGGATCGGCGGCGGCGGCGGGTGCGACTGCGGATGACCGTGAATCTGGACGATGTGAGGAGCGATGCCGTGACCCTGGGGTGGCTGCTGCTGCTGTTGCCGTGGTGCGAAATGCTGCACGTAATGTTGACCTCCAAACGCGACGTGTCCACCAGGTCCAGGCACGGGAGCGACAGAGGGATGGAATGTTGGTGTTCCTGGAACACCACCAGAGAAGGACTGACGGTGCGATGATCCGGAGCCAGGGCCAGGACCAATAGCCAGCGGCACAGGCGCGATGAATATTGGGTGAGCTTCTGGCGGAGGCGACTCCTTGTTCGAGAGATCTGTCGTCAGCTTACTACTTCACACGCTTCTTTTCCAACGCTTTCTTACTAGCCTGTCCCACACTGGAGGTAGAGGAACAGGGAGGTGTGACAAGCTTTTGTCTAATGCAAAGAAGGTTTGACGGAAGCGCGCAGGGAGACTTGTGTGTGTCGAGAATCGATGGCACGGCAAGAGGCAATGGGAACGAGAAAAAATTGCCAAGGATGAGTGAAAGAAACCTGAAAGAGGGTAACCCAGTTCAAGGGATAGTAGAGGAAGCGGCAGGAGGGGAGAAAAGTAAGACCCAAAAGGTTCAGAACAACCAATGTTGAAAGAGGAAGAAAAAAAAAAAAAAAAAAAAAAAAAAAAAAAAAAAAAAAAAAAAAAAAAGAAAAAAAAAAAAGAAAACAGTACAAGGGAGGCACTGACAGGTTGACTCTGGCACTAGCCTCGGTCTCAAACGGAAACGAAACGAGGGATGACCCGGGCGTGGGAGAGCGGGATAGGTCGAGTCGTGAAGAGTGAGGTTGCGAACGAGGAGTGAAATCAAACACAAAGGACGGGATGACAGAACCAGGAAGAAGCACCGAGGAAAAGGTGAATGGGATGGATGAATGTGGGGTTGGGAAAATTCTCAAAAGCACGCATTGTGAGCCACTTTGTTTGCTCTCTGCTCCTCTCTGGAGGGAGCGGCTCCCATGGGCCCTGGCAACCTCACAACCTCGCAACAGAAAACAGTTCAGAGAATGACGCTCAAGGAAATCAGCTTCGCTTACATTGGGCTCACGAGGGCGACGATGGACCGCCCCAATGAGGGGAGGCGCATTCGGGCTCCTCCACGTCGGTTTCGGCAAGTCGTCCGTCTCTTTGGCGTCGGCTTGCAGCAGATGCTTGATGGGACTGGGGATCTTCCTCATGGTGCGCGGCACGGGCCAGAGATCCATCTCATAGTCCTGGTCGCGAACCTCTTCGGGCAGACAGCTGGACCACGTCTTGACCTTGTTGAACTTGCATTTCTCTTCGTTGTACCGCGCCTCGCAGACGTACACCATTTTGTTATATGGCAATCCGCGAGGGCGGCCCTTGGGGTAGCGGGTAATGAACATCACGAAGCATCGGTCCTCAACTTCTTCGATCCGGTGGTCGCGATACTGGCCTGTCTTGACCACCTCGTTCTCGTAAAAGAACTTGTCATACCGATGGACCGTCTGTTCTGGGCGATAGAACCAGCAGGCGTTCACCCACTTCTGGCCAGACTTGTCCGACCACATGCGGTAGATCTGCGCGACTATGGGCTTGGAAAGATCGTTAGGGTTACGGATGTGAACCCAATCACCTATAGTCACAGTCAGTCATCTGAACTCAACATGGTTGGCGTTGGCGCTTTTCCTTGGGGCCCGGATGCATAAACACATACCCACTCGCCACAGCTCGCCTCCGTGCTCAATGCTGTCCAAGGGCAGCTTTCCATCTGCGTCGCGAAAGTCATCGTCGGGCTTGGCCTTTTCCTGCTCCGCGAGGGCGCGCGCCTCTTTTTGTAGTTCAACCGCATCTTCATACTCTTCACTCCCCTGTTCGTGGAAGAGCTTCGCATTCTCAAACATGAGTTCCAGGTCCTGGAGGACTTGGTCGAGATTTTGGTACTTTTTACGCTTGTGCTTCCTGATGATCATATCCAACGCAATCGGGTTGCGCACGGCGGCGTAATAACCCGGGCTTTCTGACTTGTCAGGGAGCCTCTGAAAGTGATTGATGCGCACATGGCCATTTTCGTTTTTGAATTTCCGCAGCCCCTTGAGTAGGGCCTGTATCCTGGCCTCTTGCGGCGTGAGGACCTTGAGGGATCTCGTGTGCTTCTTTTGGGCCTCATCATCGTCGTCATCTTGTTTCCTTCTTCGAGACCGGCCACCGCGTCTCCGTCCACGCCGGCGCCGCCCATCCGAGTCGACAGCATCTGAGTCATCCGATTCTGATTCTTCCTCCTCCTCCTCCTCCTCTTCCTCATCCTCTTCCTCTTCGGGGGTTGGCGAATCTTCAAACTCGGGTAACGGACCGTAGTCGGGGATCTCGGCGTCTTTCTCGGTAATGTCCCCCTTCTGGACGAGTTCGGCAAGCTTTTCTTTGAAAACCTCGAGCAACCGACCGGCGTCGGAGAAGATGGGGGCGGAGGGTCTATTGTATACTTGTGCGTTGTGGCATATGCGCGTCACGTCTTGAACGAATTCGTTGAAGCTTGTGTAGCTCTTTTTGCCCAGCTTGCCCTGCAGTGTTGCGAAGAAACATGGTCAGCTCGGGCTTCATGAGTGCAGGGCAGCAAAACATGTCAACCTACCCTGATGGTACTGAAGGCCATGGGGGTCTTGATAACCTCAAAGTAATCGGGAAGACTCCGCTTGTTGACTAACCTCTGGAAGCCAGAGGCAATCTCGTAGTCCCTACAGACAAGATGGTTAGCGTGCCGGCAGGTTCGCGAGGCACAGCATGAGTACCTGAGCGCAGGGGGCAGAGGGTGACTGACTCTCCATCCACCTTGATGGTGTACCGACACAGGTACTCGGACGTGTCTCTGATTAGCTGTAAGAGATCCTTGGCAGAATCACTCTCTTCTTCGTCTTCTTCGTCTTGGTCTTGGTCCTCGTCCTCGTCGTCTTCTCGGTCGTCGGCCATGTCCGCATCTTGGTCTTTGTCGGTGGGTTTGCGTGGCTCGTCGTCTTTCGCATCGACATCCTCCATGTCTACATCATCATCGACGTCGCCCTTGGCCTCGATGGACTCGCGTACCTCGATCGCGTCACGGGCCGGGGCAGCAGCCATAATATTGCTGTTGGCGTTGCTGGACTGTCGTCGCGTGGTTCTGGGGGTGGTTCTGCGGGCGGTTGTCCTGGTCGGGGCAGCAGCTGAAGACGTGGTGTTCCTCTTGGCGGGGGAGGAGTCGCCTCTGCTGGGGCGCTCGCGCAAAGTGGGCATCGCGGCTACGCAAGCTAGTGTAGGTACGCAAGCTACGGGGATGTGGTAACGGGAGGGCAGATTGTAGTGTAGAGAGCTGGGACGGTAGCGCAAGGGTGGACTCCTAGACTCCTCTCCCCGGTCGGTTTGTCTGTGTTTCTCCAAGGTGTTTCCGCCAGACAAACCAAACACGCAGCGGCAGCGGCAGCAGGTGCTCTCCCTCACACATACACGGTTCTCCACGCGCAGTCCAGAACACAGACACAGACACAGGCTCAGACGCCCGCTGGAGCCAAGCCACACCCTATGTCTAAGGTAGCAGTAGTAGTAGATCAAGTAGTTGGTTGGCGTGTTGGCTCTGTTGTTCTTGGTGGGTGTTGATTGGGGTACCGTTGCCGGGGCCGCGAGTCAGTCTGTGTGCGTCGATGGCAGAAAGAGGACGACGATCTCCGAAAAGATGCCCACCAAGGATACCTCGTGTAGAAAGTAGTGTAGTGTAGTGTAGTGATGGCTAGCTCTTCCTGGGGAAACACGCGAAACCAAGACGAGGGTCCAATTGGTGTCGATTGCTGCATTGGCAGTGACTGGTTGGGTCGCCGCCTCCAGCACTTCAGTTCCCTTGGGAGTCCACCTTAACCGCACCTTAACGTCTTAAACGTGCTATTAGACGCGCCCAACCCCCGTTAGTTGCTTAGGTAGGTAGGTTGACAGTAACGGGTTCAGTTGATCGCCTGCCACGAATGCATGACCCCTGACCATCTGTTGCATATGTACTTAGCTAAGGTTCCATGCTGTGTGGGTTGGACCGTGCGTGATTGCCGGAAGGGCCGATCCACTGCGGCCCCGAGCCCCGCGACGGGCGGGGAGGAGGGGGTGAGCCCCGGTGGGCAGCTGCTTAGCGCCTTGCTCAACGCTCGGGCGGGGCTTAAAGGCCTGGACTGCCTGTTACATTACATTACATCGATCTTGTTGAGGACTCAGCTTTACTGCATACAGGTAGGGGTAACTAGAGGTATACTACCTCTACGTACCTGTGTCATCTGTTGTACATTCCAGAGTGTCTTGACGCAACATGGCAGTCCGAAAAAAGAGGAACCGGGGTGTTTCTGCTGTGCCATACAGGTCAAAGTGTCACGTACCTCTACGGGCATGGGCGCTAATAATGTCGCCAACCCACAGTGACGTTTCACGCCCCGTTCGTTGTGGGAATTCCCCCCCCCCCCCCCCCCCCCCGGTCAGCTTGAACGGTTCCCGCATTGTACATCTAGGTAACCCCCTTGTTGATACACTACTAGTACCGTAAGCTGTAAGAATGACACCTCATCAGCAACATCAATCTTGTCACCTGGACTCTTTAGACTAACTGTTGGATGAACCAGCCAGGGCAGTTTGAGTTTGCAGCTTGCTCTCGTCCCATCTTGGTTGACATCGTGACATACTTCGATCTAGCCGCGCTTGCATGAACTGTTCCGCTTGTGTGTACCTTGACCCCTGGTTTGTCCACCTCCTCCACTTGACTATTAAAAGACCCATAATCTTTCTCTTGGAAAGGTACACCTTGAGTCTTGGGAAACCGTAGTCACAAGGAAGAGCTTACCATCCATCCTGACTTGCGCAGACAGAGCACCACACCGCCGGTACAGCCCTCCTTCCGTTCACTTCGGCGCATAGAGGTACCATATCATCCGCACCAGGACAGAAATCTGAAGCTCTTATATACCCACCAAATGCACTCTGCACTTGCGTCCCCCTAGTTGGCCAGCTTTGAATATAACTCTCGACTTTCACCCAAACCTAGATAAATCATCCACCATATCATTCAATCTCACGGCGAAGCTCTATCCAGGACATCGACCGTATCACCTATCCTCGAAGTATACTGTTGTCAACACTAGCACACCATCACCAACGCTAAGCGAGACCAATGCCGCAAATTCAATTACGCCTCAGGACCCCCAGCGGCCAAACCCGCCTCGAAGTCGACGACGAGTCCATCTTGGAAGACCTGGTGGTACAGATAAGGACGGCCACCAAGATCGACAAGTTCTCGTTGAAATATGGCTACCCCCTAAAAGATCTCGATATCAGCGATGAAGCACAGAAAGTCGTCCCTCTCAAGGACCTCAAGCTGCGCGGAGAGACAATTGTCGTGGCTCCTCTGGAAAGCGCTGCTTCATTACCTGCGGCAGAGCCAGAAAAGCCCAAGTTTACACCAAAGGGCATCGAGCCGGACGAGACGTCCATTGAGTGGCCTGAAAGAGGCGGATATCTTGGTGAGCGCTCACTCTACAAGCAAATTTTGGTTACCATATATGATTGTTCGTATGACATGCGATGAGTGTATTCTGACTGAGAAACCTGTCCTGCACAACACAGTCCTCCGCGTAATGCCCGATGACAACAGCTGCATGTGTAAGTTTCACCACCCTTCACACCCATTCATAACCCATCTCACAACCGCCCGTCCGCCCCCTTGCGCACGCACTCACTCACTCACTCTCTCATCCCATTCATCCCACTCATTCACTCGCTCACTTTCTCACCTCTGACAACAATAACAGTCACAGCAGTAGGCGGCGCCCTCTCCATCGCCAACCCGTCCGCCGTCCTTCGTTGCCAAGTATCCGACTACATCCTCTCCCACCCCACCGAGTACACGGCCGCGATCCTTGGCTCCCCGCCTTCGGTCTACGCCTCCCGCATGCTGCAGTCAGACGTCTGGGGCGGCGCCATTGAGCTGTCCATCCTCTCGGACATTTACAACATTGAAATCTCGTCTATCGACGTCAAGTCCCTCCGAGTTGACCGGTTCGGCGAGGGCAAGAGCCTGAGAATCCTGATTCTCTACTCGGGCATCCACTACGACCGCATCGCCTTTGCCATGGATCTGAGTTATCCCGTCGAGGTGGACGTGACGAAGTGGAGCACGGAGGACGAGGAGGTGTTGGATAAGGCGAGAAAGTTGGCGGAGCAGCTGCAGCGGATGCATTATTATACGGACACGACGGATTTTGTGATCAAGTGTGAGATGGATGGGTGTGGATGGATTGGACAGGGGACGAAGGATGCGGCGAAGCATGAGAGGGAGACGGGGCATGGGAGGTTTGGGGAGATGGAGATTAAGTGAGGATGAGCAGGGAGGAAGGAAAAAAGATAGAAGCGAAAATGGACAAAGGACGGGGCAAGAAAGGTGAAGGGGATGATGGGAGGGGGGCGATGTGAACAACGCGGGAACTCGCCTGGTTAGGCGGTCGGAAGCCGAATGTTGAGTGTCTCCAAGGGGTTCATATATACAATCGCACTTGTACCTGCGTCTCGTACATAATGATATGCCGATTAACATTTTCAATTATTGCATGTATGTTCCTGGTGGTATACATAGTACTCCCCATCCTCCATCTACGCGGCGCCATGCCATGTCCGTTGGTGCACGTCCTGCCGCCCGGTTCGGATCCCGCACCAACGTCACACAGAGTGGAGACCCGAGAATCCGGGGAAACGGCGGGGGTGCCTACGGTCGGTGTGCGCCGCCGGGGGACCCACTATTCGATGCTACGTACTGTGTCGAATCCTTCCATCTCCGGGCGTGAAAATGGTCACAAAGAAAAAAAAGAATCCTAGACTCTCATATTTTTTATCTCAAGTCGTGTTCAGTCGGTCCAGCGAAGTTTAATTTGTGGAGACCAGGTCAAAGGAACGCAGCTGTTACATACCTACCTTATCAACCGGACCGGACAGGAGGCCGAGCCCAGAATTCGTCACGGGTACCTCGGCATCTCTCCAGCTAGGTATCTCTACTAGGGTAGGACCTGTTTGGCCTAACACCAACGGGAGTGCCTACGACATTCCATGTCACCAACTTCACGCTCAAACATCTGGATGTTGGATTTGGTTCCTGGTGTTGAAATCAAGCTCTGACGAGCGACAGCCAATCGGATCACCACCGTCCCAGACAGACAGCCAGAAACCAAAGCCCCGAGCGCGGAACTGAAGCTGAAGCGCTGCAGGCCAGGTGTCCCGCGCAGTGAGCCCAGTGTTTCAGGACACACGATTGGCTAGACCTCGGCCCTACGGCGGCAGTGGTATGGTACACAGCGCACCATGTCCGCCGACTTCTGGGCCGGATACGTCTCCGGCGCCATAGGCATCGTCATCGGCAACCCGCTTGACATTCTCAAGGTCCGCCTCCAAGCCGGCGGCTCTTCCTCGTCGTCTTCCCCCTCTTCTTCCCTACCCACCCCAATCCCAAACTCAACCCCGTCACCACCACCCACCTCAGGCACACCAACAACAACCTCGTGGATCCGGCCCTTCCTCAGGGGCACTGCTGCCCCGGTCCTCGGCTACGGCGCCCTCAACGCGCTCTTATTCGTCTCCTACAACAGAACCGAATCAGCCATCAACCACTTTGTTTTCGGAATCGACCCCTCTCTGCCTTTACAAACGGGGGTCAACCTCTGGAGTACCTGGATCGCGGGCGCCGTAGGCGGGTTGGCTACGTGGGTGGTGAGCACGCCTACCGAGTTGATCAAGTGTCGGGTTCAACTTGCAGAGGAGCAGCAGGGGCAAAGATCGAGGGGGACCCAAGGTAGTAGTAGTAGGGGGGGAATAGGAATAGTAGGAACTGAGAAAGGGTCATCGTCATGGCAAGTAACCAAACACGTCCTTCGCACCCAAGGAATCAAAGGCCTTTACTTTGGCGGGGCGGTGACGGCGCTGAGGGATAGTATCGGGTACGGTTTCTATTTTTGGAGTTATGAGTTGAGTTCGAGATGGATGGTGGCTGCTGCTTCTTCTTCTTCTTCTTCTTCTTCTTCTTCTTCTTCTTCTTCTTCTTCTTCTTCTTCTTCTTCTTCCTCTTCCTCTTCTTCTCAGGCCGGAGGTATCTTGACCTCCGAAGCAGCCCGCGTCCTTCTCTGCGGTGGACTGGCGGGAATCATCACTTGGGCGAGCATTTTCCCCCTGGACGTGATCAAGACACGGGTTCAGACCCAGGGGATCCTTCCACTTCCAGCTTCGGGTTCGGGTGTTATCGAAACCCAAGGGGAGCAAACTGCACTCTTGGACAGAACGGCGAGCCGGCGGAAGCAAAGGCCATTGGGAGCTTGGGAAATCGCCAAGCTGACCTACAGAGAGGGCGGGGTCAAGCCGTTCTTTAGGGGGTTGGCGGTCTGTAGTGTCAGGGCTTTCATCGTCAATGCTGTGCAGTGGGCAATGTATGAGTGGATCATGACGGAACTTGGGCAGGGCAGGAGGGCGAAGGCATCGGGCACCGGTGGTGTCGAACCGGGAACTTTGGGAAGCGGCGAGCTTGCTGGGATGGGTGCTGCTTGAGGTGCAGTGGACTGCAATTCTTTGCTAGCAACGACGTACAATACACGCTGCCTTCATTTAGCGGAAAGAGATCAGGGTCAATGCTGTGTAATGACCAACTGGATATTCTTTTTCTTCTTTTCTTTTGATGGAAATACACCTAAGGCCATCACGTCAACAATGGCCCCATCACCTCTGTTAGTGGCCGTCATAAATCAGATGGAAAGGGAATGTCGATTCCCCTTCAGCCAAGCAGCCGTAACGTTCCTACCAAGCATGTACAGTCAAACAGTAGGACATCAGGCAAAATATCTGACGGGATCAAAGATTGTACAGAACTGAAAAGAACTCGATTCTCCAGGATAACAGATTGACTAAAACCGTTTATTTGGGGGCGGCTGCGTTATATTCACCTCTCCGTACCAGGGCAGTCCTGAACTCCTTCTGCGTCAGCCATCGTCGTGATCGCTTCCTTCTACCGCACATGGCGTGCATTCGACTATATAGACCAGTGCCTTCTCCAATTTAGGTCGTGCAGGTAAGCATGATGCAGGCCTTTAGCAACCAGTCCCGACAGTAGAACGCCCACACATCGTTACCATCTTGCACAGGTCGTGTTACTTAATTGTACTTGTTTTTCCTCATTGCAAGTCGCTATCGTATCTCTCCCACTGTGCCCGGAATAAAGAGGACTACAACTCATTTCTAAGCGAGCGGGAGTTCACGCGAACATAGTTGCGGCAGCTCCTGCCCCCCATCTAACAGTCTCGCTGAGCTGACCAAAGTAAACCAGCAAACAGGTCACCTATTTAAACATACACGCACAACTCCGCCAACTCCCTGCAAACTCAACGCAATGATCCTGGAGCTACAGGCTGGGTATCAGATCCTACCAGCATTATCGACGCGAAGGTAGGAGAAGCGCGCACACCGCGACCTTACATCACAACCTATTTGTAACCCTTATTAGAATCCGTTCAAAAGAAAAGAGGAAAGCAAAAGTCAGGAGAAGTGCACTTACGCAGTCGCTGTCGTTTTTCCCCTGCGGGATGCCCATCTCCTCAAAAGTAGCCGGTCCGTTTCCGACAGTCTTGCCATCGGGATGCTCAATGTTGGATTTCCCACCAGCGCCCCCGTGCCCCGGCAGCCTTGTCGTACTGGCTGCACTCGGCGTCGGACTCGCGGAAGGCCCAGGGCTATGGGTAGGTTTACTATGTGGGTGAGGCGGTTGGTGTTGCTGTACTGGCGGTGCGCTTGCTATCCTTCCGATTCCAGCTCCAGATGGACCTTGGCCTCCATTCGAACCCGGTCTGCCTCCCGTAGCTAGACTGTCCAATCTATCTGGCCTTGGCATGGGACCACCGTTCCCGGGAGTCGGAGTGCCGGTCGGGAACCGCCCAGGCATAGGAGGAGCACCCTGCCCATGACCGTAAGCATCGCTGTTTGGTCTGCTGCTGTTTGTCCTAGAGCCATAGCCTGGTTGCGCGCCACCACTCATCACGGGCGGAAGGCCTGGACTCTGTTGAGGACTATGCATGGCACCTCCAACCTGCTGAGCCGGAGGATAATTGCCAGCATTCGGATTGGGCTTCTGCAGTCTTTGTCTCATGGGATCGCCAATGGGTGCAGCGGAGGGCGGAATGCCGGGACCAGCACCTCCACTCATCCGCTGTGGCGAGGGTCCGGGACCGACATCATGCGGAGGACGATAGCTGTTTTGTCTGTAATCAGGTCGAGGGCCGGAGCCAGGGCCAGGGCCAGGACCGGGACTGGGCTGTCTATATCCAGGTGAGACTTGTGGTTCCCAAGCACCAACTGCCCCGGGAGGAACTCGGCCTCGGGGCCCGGGGCCTTGTGGTGCAGAAGAACCGTTGGCTGAGTTAGGCCGGATCCCGAAAGCGCTCATTGGCCGGTCGGCATGTGGACCACCCGAGCTTGATGACGGGCGGATTCCCGGGTTGAAATGAGGTGCTAGGGGTTTCGCAGACAGATAGTTCTGCTGCATGTGTGGTGGAGGAGACGGGTGACGCATATCGTCTTCCGGATACGGTGCGGTGTTAGTACGCGCTCTGAGCGGCGGAGGCCTAGTGTCCTCGGGATACGGTGCCGTGGACTTGGACCGCAAGGTCAGGTTCAGGTTCAGGTTCGGGTTCGAATCAAAATTGACCGTAAAGGCAGGCGGTCTATTCGCGTTTCGTGTAGGATCCGGAAAGTCAATCTGATCATGGCCGATTGCCGATCCCTGAGACGCTTTGACAGGAACTGGAGGCACGTTGTCGCCGGGATCACCCTCACTCAGGGTAGGCAACACTTCCGTGGGTCTTGAGAACCGCTCAGGGCGCTTGCCGCGCTGCGAGCCGTGCTGAGACTTGATACGCGTAAGTGTGGTTGTTTCGTGGTCCTGCTTCGTCAGCGTCTTGGACTGGCTCAGTGAATCCAATCTGGTCATGGCATCCTTGTTTCCATGCTCCGCCGCCTTTTCGTACCACTTTCGTGCCTCGATGACATTCTTTTGTACATGAATACCTATTTCATGATAGTATCCCATGGCAAACTCGCCTGTCGCTAAGCCGGCGTTGGCTGCATCCAGAGCGTACTTATACGCGAGTGCCTCATTTTTGGAAAAGGCACCCTCGAAGCCGAACAAAAACCACCTGCTAACACCCAACGCAGCTTCGCTTTGTCCCTGGCGGGCAGCAAGGCCGTAGTAGTGAAGGGAGTAGGTTGGATTGAAGTCGCACCCGAGCTGACTGAGTTCATACGCCTGACCCATCTTTAGCTGTGCCTTGGGAAAGCCGAGGTATGCCGCCTTCTCGATATACTGGCGAGCGACGACCAAATCAAACGGGAGAATGTCTTCGGGAATGGTAATGTCGGGAAGCTCTCGGGAAAGAAGCAAGCCGTACACATAAGCGCCCTGCGGAGAGTCCTCATCGGCCGTGTCGGCTGCAAGCTGGATCATGTCGAGGCCCTGCAGAATATCCTTGTGGAAGCCGTGCTGGCCCATGAGGTGTATCATGCCTAATCGGTAGTTGGAGGCGGTATCCTTCATCCTCACGCCGGCCTCGTAGTGCTTGATGGCGTTGGGGATGTCGTTGGAGTTTTCGTAGAGCATGCCCATGCGGTATTCGGCCCTCCCGTATCCGTTCTCTGCCGCCCTCTTGTAGTGGGCGTAGGCTTCCCGCTTGTTCTCGCGATATCCAAACTTGCCGAACTCCAGCCATTTTCCCTTCATAAAGTTCGCCTCGGGATGATCTTGGCTTGCCAGGTACTCGATGATGTTGAGAGCGTCGACGCGCAATTCGTGCTCTGTCGTAGGCGTCGATGGCCGTTCCCTTCCCTTCCCGTCACGCCTCCAGTCTCTGGCGGCGGCCTCCTGGGCTATGTCGACCCAAATCAACGAGTCGCGCGCCCATGTCACCTGCATCGAGACATTGTTGGAGTGAAGGACCAGGGTGCGGGCCTGGTAGAGGATCTCTTCCTTCTCCTCGTCGCTCGGAGGGATGTTCTCGCCCTTGACCTTGGGGAAAGGGGAGAACGAGGGTGCGTCCATGGCTGTTGACCGGGCGCCGGAGCGTTGTTGGAAAGGCTTGAACCTGTTTGTTGCCCACCAAGGTTGGGCAAGCCGTCAGCAGCAGGTCACCTTGCATTTATAGATTGCGGTATACAGCGCATCGACATGTGCCATACGCGCATAAACGCCCCACCCGAACGGAGGGATCCTGGAACTCCCCCTCTGCTGGAAGCCAGCGTACCGGTATGGACCCCCTCCCCTGGACAGGTCGGTCGGTGTGATTCAGGGTCGGGTATAGACTTACGTCTTTTCGTCTTGTCGTTGGTCCCTGTTCTTCGCACTACCGGTGGTGCCGTTGTTCTTTTGAGGATCGACTTCACGAGCTTCGAGTTCCATGCGTTGGATGTCCTTTTGCATGTTCTGAGGCACCTCTGGCATTACCCTGTAGAAACACATCGCAACATGTCCGTTAGCCTCTCAGCGCTCGCCGTTCAGCGGCTCAGCCCTCCACTCAGCCCTTTTCCACCTGCTGGCGGAGCCTTGTAGCAGATTCGTCATTTCGCAAGCCATGCAACTCCGGTCCAATATTACTATGTAGATCGGACCCGACGGCGCAAAATGTAGTTGATAATTTGCGCTCAAATTGACGAGGCACTTGTAGGGCGGGCAAGAAAGTGGCTTACCGTTGCGGGGCTGGTGCGACAACTTCGGGCATGAAGTAGTCATCATAGCCTCCAGGGACAAACGTTGCGCCCAAGGTAGGCATTTCGGGGGAGTCTTTTTCTGTAAATAGGGCCAGGGGCAACAGTGGTGACAATGGCTCCAATGGCTTGGCCGCGACTGTATAAGTTCCCGAAAACGTAGGTATTCGTCAGCACATCCGCCCACTATGTCCAGAATGTCCGGTCTGACAACTTTAACAGTAAATCCCGTCCAAAAGCATACAGTAGTAGTAGTGTGAGCAGCGGCTCCCCCACTTCCGGTGTCGTGGTAGAAATGTAAGGTATGTAGAGGTATGTAGCGTAGTGGGTTCAAGCTTTGTCGTTATGACGGCCGCAAAGAGAGAAAGGGAGAGAGGGGTTGCGGGGACGTTTGCAGGGGAACTTTAGCAAGTCAGGAGGGGCGCCAAGTTGAAGCTTCGGTGTACTATATGGTAGTCTTCCACTACTTGTACAGGTAGACGTGGGATGCTGCGATTGTATTGGTCTCGTCCGGTGTCTTTGATGATGTCGATGGTTGCGATGACTGAAAAAGTCAAAGAAAAGAGAAGCTTGGTATGTCGAGAACGGAGGAGAATGCTTCCTATACGAAAGCAAGCAAGTCTCAAGAAAAAAGGTCTCTTGTCTCGAAGGGAGCGCCCGTGATCTCTCGACAGCTCGGCACAGCCAGGCAGGGCGACCCGCATAATAAAATGGAATGGCACGGAGCAAGGTGAGGTAGGGTACCCATAACTTCAACAAAGCAAGGGTGAAGGTCTCGAAGAGCTTGCTTGGCTTACGCCCCTTGGGACAGGCAATATGCAGTTCCAGAGTGCTCTATGGGTGATGGTGTGTGTAGCGAGTGTATGTTGCGGATGCCAAATCCGGGTCTCGCACGGGATGCGACCAACGTCCAATTTCATGGCCCAGCGGACCAGCCCAAATCCAGCGGCAACAGTGTGGCTTGGTGCCTGACTCTATTTTTGAATCGCCTCCTAGAGTGTATCGAGAGTGAAGATGGTAGTGTTGGTTGCGGATTTTGAACACCTTCATATCTCCCACTGCCTCGCCTGGTTTGCTCGCAACTGGAGAAGAGCCTCAACTCAACTCTGGAGCGAGGTGTATAAGCAGTGTACTGTGCCATGTACATACGGCGATAGAGTGACTCTGCCCTGCTGTGCCTCTGTCGATGGCAACTTGGCGGCCGCTGGGAGTTTGTGCTCGACGCTCTCGGCCCCTGACTGGTCAAGTGCGTCGAATATTCGGTGCATGTGAGACCTCCACATTCCCATAGTTACAAGTAGGTAGTACCCAGTGCCAGTCCGAACACCCACGCTTGTTGTCCGCCCTCATAGACATGACGGATGCAAACACTATAAGAATAGCGCTCCAAGGCGAGTATCTACATACCTTTTGAGCGCGAGGCTTTGACGTTAGCCTCCTGGAGGGTTAAAGTCTGTTTTGTCCGGGACGTCATCGTGATCGTGGACCTCTGCGTTTGAAGCGCCACTGTCGACGGTAGGTAGGTAGTTCTGACAGGAAGCAAGATCTAGGTTGTAGTAGAGTGGAAGCAACAAAGAAGAGAAAACCTGTAAGGAGGAGCGAGTAAAGATATCGAGGTTGTGGATCTAGGTCTCGAAGTAGGAGGTCGTGTCCAGGGATGACATTCTGGAACATTACTAGTCGAGGGGAGTTCACATCATGTTTTAGATCGTGCAAGTTGAACAAACCAAGTCAAGTTCACCGGAAGAAATTTCCAGCTCTCTTCATCCTTTTCGGGCAAGTGCGCATCTCGTCAACCGCATCAGTCAGCATCGATTCCCTTGGATTACATGCCACAAGCCCTGTGAGCGGAACTGGAGGCGTAACACGACCCCGTTGAGTGAGACTCGTTCGTGCCTTCTGCGCAAAAGAGTGTACAAGTACACTAGTGTAAAATGGCCATCAAGGTACAGGAACTACCTAAGTAAAAAGCCGCTATCACAACACGCTATCGATAAGCTATTCCACCGAGAAGGAACAAACCCGTGCACGAGCCAGCTGCTCCAATCACCTGCAGCTGGCGGGGTCGTGGAGCTCGACCCAGCACTCAGTGGGCGCATGCCAAGCAAGCTGGCTACAGTACAGCTCCCACTTACCAAAACGTCACCCCGTCAGCCTGCCGCCGTGACGTCCCCGGGCAAGACAGCAGCATCCAACCGTCAGCCTCGACACCAAACTACGTACCTACATCCACTGCCTCGTTTCCCAATACAAGCCAAGATCACTGTACCAACAAACTCGACGACAAACCAGACAACATCGCCGGTCTACCTAGTACCACAACAATATCAACTCGGAATCAGAATACGCATACGCGACGCATTTACCCAACCGTCACATCCATTTGCCGCCCGCGATAGCTTCAAAAACCACCTCGAAGCTAGAACATCAAACGAACCTCGACTTGCCGCACCCTCAGATCACCACCACATCACCACAGCCAGACACCACCACCACCCAACATGGCAGAACGACAACTCACCCAAATCCTCACCCAACTCCAGACCTCGGCCTCCTCCCTCTCCTACACCGACTCCTCCGCCCTCCTCTCCAAAGCCAAGCTCTTGCTTCTCCAACTCAACGCGCTGACCCCGACCGCGCCCGGCTCCGCCTCCAACCCCTCCCTCTTCTCTCTCGCCCGCCAAGTCTACGAGCAAGGTGCCCTGGCCTCGATCCGCGCCAAGAACCCCGACGCCTTTTTGCGCTACGTCAGCCAGCTCCAAGGGTTCTACGAGCTCGAGAGTACTGTCGGTACCGGTGCCGCTGGTGGCAGGATTGCCGGTGCGGACGCAAACAGGGAGGAGAAGAACAAGGTCACGGGCTTGTATTTGCTGCTGCTGTTGACGCAGGGACAGTATGCCGAGTTCCATAGCGAGCTGGAGGCGCTGAGCACGAGGCTGGGTGGCGCCACGCGCGAGCTGGAGGCGGATAGATATCTCGGGTATCCCATCAAGCTGGAGCGGTGGCTGATGGAGGGGAGCTATGATCGTGTATGGAAGGCAATGAAGAAGGGGGAGGTTCCTTGTGAGGAGTATGGAGTTTTTTCCGAGGTTCGTGGGTTTTCTTTTCTTGCGTCTTGCTTTCTTTACCTTTTCCTCCTAGGTCCTTCTCTCTCGCTCCACCCCCAGCAACGATATCATTCTTGATCATTTAGACCACATTAATCACTAACCACCACACCCTACTGCCAACAGATCCTCACTTTCCAAATCCGCTCCGAAATCGCCTCCTCCTCCGAGCGCGCCTACCCCTCGCTTCCCATCTCCTCCACCAAGTCGCTCCTCTTCCTCGAGTCCGAGGGCGAAGTGGTCGAGTTCGCCCGCTCCCGCGGCTGGGTACTCAAGGACGGCCACATCTACTTCCCGTCTGCTGAGCCGACGACGGAGGAGGCCGGTGCCGAGCAGGAGAAGCCCTTCAGCCGGTTGATCATTGAGAATACGCTGGGCTATGCTAGGGAGTTGGAGACGATCGTCTAAACAGTAGAAAAACAACAAAGTGGCTGGCCGGTGTGGCATGGGTTGGGTTGGGTTGGTTTACGCAAGCGTTTTTAAACGATGGTCCTTAGAGGTTTAGCTACATAGGCAGAACAGAGGCCACGTACAGATACACTACTTACCGTTGTGTTCCGTGTGTCGCCTATATGTATACACAAACGTGATGAACAATATCACGGCTTGCGTCTGGCATAGTATTATCTAATCGACAGTTCAGGTGACAACGACTTTTATGTTCGGGTTATAGCACACGAACTTACTTGGTGGCAGGCAGTAATTGTTATGCAACAGGCGCGTCCAAAATGGTTTTGTCTTTCCTTTTCTCTTCTCCCCTGTTCTTCCTGCAGAAGAAAGCAAGAAACGCGATCATTATACCTACTTTAACTGTACTTTAACTACTACTTTACTTGTCATCAAAACCCCCTTCATCGTGCAGCACCCACCGCATACACACCCACCCCTTTTAAGCAAACAGCTTCAGGCCACTACCGTGCTTTCCGACCTCGCAAACCTCGCAGACTGTGCACACCGTGCCCTTGTACTTGGTGTGGTACTTGGCTCCGTCAAATGCGCACTCCTCGTAAGGGGTACCGCTGTAGATGGGCGTGAAGCTGGCAGCGCAGATCTCAAACTCGGCAAACTGATCGAACTCGATCTCCACGGCGTCGTGAGGGTTGCGCTCGCATTGCGCCTTGGTTCTCTTGGCCTGTTATTTTTCAAACATGTCAGTGTCTCTACCCAAAAAACAAAAGGGTAAGGTTATGTAGGTGATCACATACGCTCTCAGTGATCTTGGTGGCTCCTCCGTTGGCCAATATCCTGTTGGCGAAGCTAAGGGCGGAGCTGTAGTTCTTGCTCCGCACAGCCAGGTTCATTGCGTTAAGCAAGGCAAGCTGGCGATGGGGAACCTCGATCTTGGGAATGGTGAAGTAGGCCGACAGTTCCAAGCTCCGCTTCTGGAGCGAGGGATCGCTGTTGACCTGGTCCGGAGAACCGAGTTGCCTGCGGGCCAACTCGATGGACATGGCAACCGAGTACTCGCAGGCTGAAGCGATGAGCTTCTTGGCCTCAGCCACCTCCCCATCACTGCCTACAGCGTTGACAAGGACGGAATGCAGAATGCCCTTGAAGATCTTGACACCATCCTCGAGCTTGTTCGCCCTCATCGCGTCATAACCGCGCTGCAGGTCATTAGAAGCAAGGTACTCGAGGTCCCTAGGGATGATAGGGAGAACCTTCCTGGGATCCGTCTCCTCGGGATTCCTGCGGACGTAGTTGACGAGAGGGTCCAGGCTAGCCGCGGCAGGGAGATAAGTCTTGGATGCCTGGTAAACCTCCAAGAAGCGAGGCTTGAGCGGAGCAAAGTTGACAGCGCCAACCTGGCGGTTGAGCAGCTGCATTGCCGACTCAAAAGAACCACCAGCGACGTGATCAACTGCAAGCGGTGAGTTCCGGGACCACAGATCTGCTTCACTGCTTGCAGCACCGCCGGCATCCGCGCTCTCCACGTTGACGAAGCCCTCCTCGACTTCAGGAACAATGTCATCACCCATGTCCCAGCCCGCAGCATCTTCGTCCTCATCGCCTTCAGCAAGAGCACCGGCCTTCTTGGTCGCAGGCTCATCGGCACCACCCTCTTCAAGACCTAAACCGTTGGGAGCGGCAGAGGGCTGGTCTTCCAGAGACAAGCCCTCAACCTCGCCAAGCAGGGCCTTTTCGAAGAAGGACTGCGAGGCCGCCTTTGTTGGCCAATTAGCCTTGTATGTGGGAACCACGGGCTTGGGCGGAGTAAGGGGTTCACCCAGGGTGGGCATCGAGAGCTGGTCTTCTGTAAGGCCAGTAGCCTCGAAAATTTCCTGGCACTCGTCCTCAAGCCCGTGAGACTTGGCAGTCATGTAGGCCAGGGGGTACAAATCGATTTCCTTGAACATCTGGATTCGGTCCTGGACCTCTCCCAGATAAAGGGCGTTCTGGAATCTCGAAGTGAAGTCACCACGGTGCTCAGCAATCTTGGCCATCCTCGAGAGCTTGTCATGGTCGCCGGTGGTGAGGTAGAGGAACGAAAGCTTGTCAAAGTGTTTGAGCTTCTGGTAGCACATCTCCACGATCTGGTGGTTACCATGGGCGAGGGCCTCCTGGCTAAGTCTCGTCCAGAGCTTGGGCTTGTCCAGTTGCTTGGCCATCTCAACGGCGACCTCGAGATTACCGCACTCAATGGCAAGCTCGAACCTGGTAGTAGGATCCTGGACGAACTGGAGCGCAATCTCAGGATAGCCCTTCTTCTGAAGGTAGGCAATGATTGACTGGCCAACCAAGCTCGAGTTCTGGATAATGTGTAGCATTTCCTCGTAGTTACGCTTGACTAGCGCAAGCTTGAAGCGGTACTCGGTGGGGTCAATCTGCAAAATCTTGGGCTTCGCAGCACGATCAAGGCAGTACACGTTTCTACCCTTGACACGGGTGAGGTAAACAGTCTGGTCGAGGGTACAAACGATGCCGTTATCGCCATTAAGAAGCGTGTACTTGACGTGGTTGAGAGTCGAGTAGAGCAGAACACCGGCGTCATCCCACGCAGCACTCTTGAGACGGATAGTCTCATGTAGAGTGCTAACCTGCTCCAGGGTCTTGGTCACAATTGTCACATTGTGCTTGCTGAGCAGAGCGGCGTAAAGACCATCGTTAGACCAGACAACGTATTTGACGCCAGTTACAGCCAGCTCGGCAGTGCTCTTTCTCTGCTGGATATCGTAGAGGTGAACAGCGGTCGGAGTAATGATGAGGAGGTTGCCGGTGCCGCCAAAGTAGATGTCGGTAGTGCCAACAGGGGGCTTGAACGATCGCGTGGTGTTGTTGGTCAAGTCCTTGATATCGACGGTCTGGGTGGCAGTGTTGAGAACAGCGAAACGGTTGCGAGCCACAAACACAGCGGAGTTGCCCTGGCCCCGCTTGGATTCTGTGGGTTCGATAGCTCCAGAACCATCGCGAGGAAGGGTGATGAGCTCGTACGATCCACCATCCGCCGGGGAAGTGACCAAGATTGACCTCTCCGCGGGGTTGTAGGAGAGCGTTCTTGGGGGCACCCAAGGGCTTCCGAGCTTCTTGAGCGACAAAAGCGTGGGCGATTCGACATTCTTCTGGAAGTCGTACATCTTGACGTGCTTCTCCTTGGTAATGTAAAAGATGTTGTTCTGATAAACGGCAGAAGCGGGCCTCTCGCGCTCGAGCTTGAACACCATAACACCATTGTCGTGACCAGCAGCGAACAAGTTGATTTCCGGATGAGCAGCGATGACCCAGATCCTATCGTTCTCCCGCTTAAAGGTGTTGACTACGGTACGCTTGTTAAGATCCCATACGCGAATCGTCTTGTCCTCGCCGGCCGAAAGGATGAGGTCCTGGTGGGGGTGGAAAAGACAGCCGCTGGCGTTCTGGAAATGGCCGCGGCAGGTATCGACTTCCCACTATGGATGGTTGGTTCAGTCAGCAAGTTGTCATCAGATGCACAAATCCTCACAACACGTACAGCCTTGGTCTCGCTCATGCGCCACAGCTTGATAAGGCGGTCGTCACCGGCGGACACAATCAAGGGCATAGTGGGGTGGAAGGCAACCCAGTTCACACCGCGGTCGTGGCCCTCGAGAACGAACTTGACAACGGCGTCGGTATTGCCGAACATGTCGGTCTGGTTGGCATTGGCGCGAGCAACTTGGTCCTCGAAGGACATGGACGTAGGCGCGGAGTGCTTCTTGCGCAGGCCCGAGACTGTGACAAGACAAAATGGTCAGCCATCCTTGTATTCCGCAGATATCCATGCCATCTTTCCCGGCCAAGGCACCACGTACTATCCCAAACGCGAACAGTCTGGTCGAGGGAGGCGGAAACGATGAGGTCCTCCTTGGGATGGAACTGGGCGCACATGACGTAGTGGTTGTGGCCCGTCATGGTGCAAAGCAGGGAGCGGTTCTGCCAGTTCCATATCCGAATCGTCTGGTCGTCACTAGCACTAACAATCCAAGGAAGCTCGTGGTGGAAGAAGACGGTGCGGATGTAGTCCAAGTGGCCGTTGAGTGTAAAGAGGCAGCGCCGAGTCTGGAGAGACCAGACCTTGATCTTGTAGTCGTCACCGCCAGATACGAAGAGGGGCTGTAACGGATGTGTAAGCTAGTTGTCGATAACTCGGGTTCGGCGCATCGAGGGAACAGGGAGCTCACCTGTGTCTTGTGGAAATCAACGCCGCGGACGGGGCCATCGTGCTCTTCGAATCGGTCAATCAGGGTACCCATGCGGTAGTCCCATAGCTGAATGGTGGAGGAGTGGAGGGAGACGAGAATCCATGGTCTGGAGGCAAGGCCATGTTAGTTTCGCGTTTGGTTTTCTTGACAAGCGTAGACATCAAGACCCAAGGGTTAAGTGACGGGGGAGCTTCTGCTCTTTCGGGGGACGGAGAGGCTGACCGTTTAGGGTGGAAGGCGATGCCCTTTGCTCGCGACGACTTGGACTCGAACTGCGCACAGGGGTAAGGTAAGATGTTAGACACGCTCGAGCTGGGGAGAAGGCGCATGGAGAGTGGACGACAAACAACGTACTTTGGTGAGCATTCCCGAGGAGGCCTGCATCTTGCCAGTGGCTTTAAGGGGAGCACAGCCTAAGCTCCCGGCATCAACGTGGGAAAGGTGGATTAAGTATTTAAGTGGGAGACGGGGGGAATTAGGACGCGATCAGCCGAGACACCGTGAAGTCGCAAAATACTATGGCAGATGGGAATTGCCGTTCGGGGGGTGGGAGGAGGAGGAGGGGTGGCGGCGGCGGCGTGGTGGTGGTGGTTTGGGCGTGGGAGGGATGGGGAATGAACGGAGCCAAAGTGGAAAGGAAGTGTCGAGGTAGGCTGAGTGAGCAGTGTAGGTAGGTCCAGTCGTTCGAAAGGTCCGCGATGGATGCCACTCACAATCAGGAACGGAGCTGAGGTGCTGGAGTGGACGGTC